TTTGAAAGCTAACTTGAATAAACAATTTGAAAAATTTTTAGAGGTATTTAGAAATATACATATTAACATTCCTCTTCTTGATGTATTGCCACAAATGCCAAAATATGCCAACTTCTTGAAAAAGGTGATGTCAAATAAAAGGAAATGGGAGGAATGCAAAATGGTGAAACTAAACAAAGAGTGCTCAACAATTCTTCAAAATAAATTGCCCCCAAAGCTCAAGGACCCAGGGAGTTTTTCTATTCCTTGCACCATATGAGATACTGAGTTTGAGAAAGCTTTATGCGATTTAGGTGTCAGTATAAATCTAATGCCATATCCTATCTTTGAAAAACTTGGATTCCATGAACTAGCACCTACTACTATTACCTTGCAATTAGCTTATAAAAGTATTAAATATCCTAGGGGAATAATAAAAGATGTTTTATGCAAAGTGGGCAATTTTATTATACCTGCTGACTTTATTGTGTTGGATATGGAGGAAGATAGGACAATGCCCTAGATTTTAGGGAGACATTTTCCTGCTACTGGTAATGCTTTAATTATCGTACAAAAATGTGTACTTACTCTTAGAATCAATGGTGAAGAAGTAGTATTTAATGTATTTAAAACCATGAAATATCCTTACACAATTGAGCATGAAATATATGCAATCGATTGCATTGATATTTAGGCAGTTGAAGTCGATACATCTAAATCAGATGATCCTTTAGAACGTTGCATTCTTAATTCTTGTAAAAATGTGCAGGTCTTGAATGAAGAAATTAAGAAGGTTTTGAACTATTTGGAAGCCGGTCAAGAAGAATTCAAGCCAAGACAAGGAAATTTTTTACCATTGGATGGACCGACCTCTACCAAGCAATTGCGACCTTCTATTGAAACACCTCCAGCTCACACAAAACTCCTCCCATCTGTTGTGCAGGCCCCTATTCCATATTTAAACCCACCCATGATGGATGAGAGGGGAAAACATCGGAAGTTGCAACTCTACAAGACCTGGAGGATCTGGTTTATGATTAAAAACAGGGAAGTTTGTTTTTCTTTTTTTTTTTTTCTCTTCTTGTTTTTATAGTTATGTTATTTTCACATTTTCTTTTTACCTTGCATTGAAGACAATACGTAGACTAAGTGTGGGGGGGGGGAGGGGAGAATAGGATTTTATTTTAGTTCAAAAAAAAAAAATCAAAACCTCAACTCTTTTGAAATCAATTGAAACAATGTTCTAAGAAAATTCTTGTGAACCTAGTAATGAGGTACGATCAAGGAGTACATGACTTATCTGAAACCATTTCCAGTTAAGCTAGTCCTAAATTCAGGTTTAAGTAAATGGGGTAGTTGCTTTACCATTACTACAATTGGTAGGATGGAGCATAAAATGCACCTATCAACCAAGTAATTCAATAGTAGGATGGAGCATAAAATGCACCTACTAGCCAGCAAATTCAACAGTAGGATGGAGCATAAAATGCACCTATTAGCCGAGTGATCCAAAAGTGAGACGGAGCATAAAATGCATTCACTCCCAATAAAAAGAAAAAAAAGAGAAAATAAAAAGAGAGGTTTTCCCTAAAAATTATGGGGGGATTTGATAAGAATAAAAATTATCATATTTTTATCCCTAAAAATTTAGTCTTTTATACTTAATTAGTACTTAATTGGACTCATTATGCTTGTATTTCGGTTTAGGGCATGAAAGAAGGCGTCAGGAGAAAAACAAGGCTAATTGGGTAATTTTGCACAGTTTTGGCACCGCGTAGTAATCTGGGCATAACTCTCCCATCCGAACTTCAATTGAGATGATTCAAGATGCATTGGAAAGATAAGGAAACACTTGAATTCTTAGTGAATTGATTGGCGAGCTTCAAGAATTCTGTGATGTCTTTGGGTTTGTTCGCCACCACATGCCATTTGAATTCTCAGTGAATGATCCCCTTTTTTGCTGTCGCGAGTCTCACGGTCGGGTCTAAATCCGGGATTAGTAGGCAAGTGTCGTTGAAACGTTTGATGTAGCTTCGGATCAACTCTCCTTCCCTCTGGACTATACTAAAAAGGCTTTCTTGTGACATTGGGCACTTTTTACTAGTGATGAAGTGCGAGCTGAACAACTGTACGAGCTACGCCCAACTTTTAATTGTCCCGGGCGCAATGTTTCTATACCAAGTGCGGGCTACCCCTTTGAAGGTTGTGGAGAAGGCAACGCAGATGCAGGTTTCGTCAGCCCCAACGAGATGCATCTGGGACTAAAAAGAATCTATGTGGTCATTTGGGTCGAAAGACCCATTATACTTGTCCAGGGGGGGGGGACCCTGAAGTTCGCTAGCATCGGGGAGGCCAGGAGCACATGGGATAGTGGAGAGGGTACAGAGAGGAGGGGAGCGGTTTTTGTGACTCCCAAGCTTACCTCCATTTTACCTTTAGGCTGCTCAGGTCGGCTAGATCGCACGAACTGGCCGGGATTTACCGCCTGGGGTGCTCCAGCATGCCTCCTTTGCCGCTGCTCAACTAGTTCCGCAGCAGTGCTGCTGACCTCCACACTATCAAATGGTGCTTTGGTCGAGAGTGATTCGGACTACCGACTACTACGGACTGAGATGTCTTGCCTGGAGTCCTCAGCTAAGACCTCGAACCGGTTTCCTGCGAGAATGCCTTTAGGTCGTGAAGGTCGAGGTGGACTGATTCTGGTGGGCCGAGTATCTCTCGACCTGCTTAGTTGTTGAGAAATGGGAGGGACTTGTCTTTCTCTCCTGCCGCGAGACGAGACCTGGGAGGTCTCTCCCCGACCAAGGCGACTACTTTGGCGGCGAGGCTTGCTCGGGGTGATTGGACACTGAGGTGGGGTAGGTTGTTGGTTCAGCTACAGTAGTGGGAACTGCTACTGGTACATGTGGTGCAGAACTTGTTGTTTGTACCGTTGGAACTATTGGACCTGTTGCATTTGGGCTTGAATAGCCTGCACGCAATATACCAGGTCGCTTAGTTGGCTTTGTGTCCTACTCCAGGGGGAACTATGGACGGTTCAACAGAGGTTGCACCCACTACAAGGAGGAGTGGGGCGTTCACAGGCTCAATTGGTTGAGGTATAGCAGGTACTAGGATCCCACCCGCGGGGAGCAGTATGGTGAATTGGCCTATACAGACGGTTGGGAACTGAAGTTGCCCCCCGGAGATGTTTGCTTCTTTGTGCTGTCCGGCGTTGCTGGAAGAAGCCATGGGTTTGGTTTTGAGTTTTTTAGGTTTTTGGAATGGAGATAAGAAGGCTTTTAGTGACAAGTTTCCCACATACGGCACCAATTGATGTGGCGTAATCCGGCTACTCCCTGATGGATATGACCTGGCTACCAGCAACGATGAGAACTGGGTTCCTGAAAAAAAATGAGTCAGAGATCCCAGGGTGGCTCACCCGGTGAGGATACTTCGATGGCTAAGTTAGAGCACGGTGATAATAGAGAGCTTGAAGATGATAACAATGAGAGAGCTAGAGAGCGAAGATTACACACAACAATAATAATAGAACGTACCTTCGCCCCTAGGGGGGCAGAGTCTTTATATACTATGGCCTAGGTGTGTTGGTGGAACGGTCACTGGATACCTACTGCGATGGGACCTGTTGCGTGTTAGGTGGATGAAACGCCATCAAATGGTAATACTGTCACTTCCCGTCAGAACGGGGAGTTAGTGAACTAATGTTACCGTTATAAAGTACGATCCTGCGGGATACAGAGTACGGAGGTGTGTTCCTCGAGGTTGCCATGCGGAGGTCTAAAAGTTAGACGAGCTGCCTGTAGGATACCGGACTGCTTGATAGCGAGCTAATTGGTAGTGAGCTTCTCGAGCTCGTGCTCAGGTCCGCCCCTGACATGAATGCCGAAGTGCCCTTGGACCGGGGTGATTCATCTGTCCAGGCTAGATTTGTAACAAACTTGGTTCCATTAGTCTGGTTGTGATCTGGTATCGGGACAATCTTAGCCCAAAGTGACTTTAGTTCAGGGTATGCTGGTTCCATTAATCTGGTTGTGATCTGGTATCGGGACAATCTTAGCCCGAAGTGACTTTAGTTCAGGGTACTTGGCATACCCCAGCTCGCTTTATAGCGAACTGATTTATGCTGAGTTATCACCCGTGTTGAGTCATGTCCACATGCCGATCTGATTACATCAAGTTGTCGCTCACGCTGAGTCACGTCCACGTGTCTCCCTGTCATGAGGTCGGGCCAAATTCTCCTTCGTCAGGGGTTTTTTGACATTTTGAATGTTTATAGATCTGAAGTGGAATTCAGAAATCTGCATTGTGCCTGTCTGTACTTTTCCACAAAAACAAATGAAAATTGAGATTAACAAAATACTAAGTATCAAAACTATGTAATCAAAAGCTATTAAGTTTTAAAATATAAGTCTAAAAGAAATGATTTGATTTTTTTTGTTGAGAGAAAAAAAAAATGAAACAAGTTGATATGAACTGAAACTCCGGATACTATCTATGGAATTACAAATGCATGGATGCATAAGATTTTCCAATAGTGCAAATATCAGAAAGCCAATATAATTTGTCTTGATGTATATAAATTTATAAATTTCAATAATCAATTACATTTATTGATCCACTAAGAAGAGAAATTATCTACAAGTTAATATTAAAAATACTAGCATGTGCCACATGTATACTATTTATATGAATTGTTTTCCTATATCATTTTCAACGAAAACCATTTATTTTCCTTGATTTTAACAAGAACAAAAGAAAAGAAAAAAGAGAAATTATCTTACCACGAAGTCATGCCAAGTACAAGATGGCTGAACGGTTATCATCATAGTTTTTAAATTATTATTTTTTTTAAGGTATCGTAGTCTTTAAATTATGATTTTGTAGCATTTAGGATAACGATATTGACCAATCTACTCTTACCTTCCAAAAGTCGGTTTCCATAATCCTCTTTCTTTGTTTTTCCCCCCTTATTCTCTTGAGGGTGAGGTTGAACGGAGAGCTAAAACATACAGCAGAAGTGAAAAAACTGGATTTGTGTATGATTTCAATGGCAAAGGATCCTCAAATGAGATTTTCTATTCTGCTGGATACAAACGTACAACCAATTCCCTCCTCTCTTCCCATTTGTAAAATCACAGTTAAATTAAAACAGGAAACAAGGAGAAAAGAAAACAAACTCATCTTACGAAGCAAGTGAGCGTCCATCATATCAGTGTCAGCTCACTCAGCAAAATGAGTTGTAGCTTTTTTTTGTTTTTTTACATGGATTCGAGTCACAATCTCCTGCTGCCAATCTTTGCAAACCTTCTGGCTACTCCAAATATAACTGCTTTAGTCAATAGGCCCTGATCAAGAGTACATGCAAGTGCGACAGCTCCACCAATAAACAGGAGCTTAGGTATGCTCCTCCCTAATGGTTTATCAGATGAATTTATTATTTCAGCCTCAGGTGAGTCACTGGTGGTTTCTAAAGATCTCAGGTACTCTGGATTGATTTTGGTGTTCATCTGAGCCATGAAAGCACAATGGGAGAGTGGTGACCCTGATGCTCTATCTTTCTGATACGCTCGTAAGCCAGGCTCAATCTTCTTTACAGCTCCCCACATCCCCTGACGTACACCAAGTTTCGCAATTTCCCATGGAATACCCATATCTTCATGATGAAAGAGAAGCACCTCGCAAGCAGTCATCTGACCATCCCCTCTCTTTGATTCCACTGGTTTATGTACACCACAAGATATCTAATTATTGATTGGTTTTGAAATTTCAAATGGAAATCAAAGAATGGTATTCATATAATAAATTGTTTCCTAGGATCATCAGGAAAACAGAACCACTTCCCTAATTTGCATAGGAAACTACAAGGTTGAGGGAGGATAACTTGGACATTTACATAAGAAGAAAAGCAAGGAGAGCTGAAAGGATGCAGAAAACCAACTTGTCATGGACTATTTTGTTCACATAAAAGAAAATTGGAGGGCCCTATTTACCTGCACGAATAAACCAACTAGAATAGTACAGGTCAACACGTCTTGGCTTGTTGCGCCTTGGCACCGAGGAGCAGGGTACTCCCTGAAACATGAAAACGAAAATAATTCATTTTATTTAAGTTGGTTGAGAGTTCCTTGAAAAGAAATTAACACTACTGAGTGCTGATAAATTATGGCCGTCAGAACATGTGCTGGTGATATTCATGTTGGCTTCTCCACATGACCTACCTTATTTCCACCAATTGGAAAGATGATTAGGCTGGATTTCCCAATCTTTAGGATATCTGTCATATCTAATTCCCCATTCTTACATCAACTCTGTATCCTTTTTATTTGGTGTTCTCCCTGGGTGATATTAGCCATCGAAAAATCTTGTTTTAAACTAATGTTCCATAAATAAAAAAGGCTTTTATGGATGACTGGTAAGGATTTTTAACATGAAATTTGTTCCATGGGTAGATGAGTGAGAGGGGAATAAATGCGGCCCTTTTGGGCCCAAACTACATTGCCAGACAGAAGATTCCTCAATCATTTAGAGTTCTTCCTAAATGCCCTGGCTAAAAGATCAGTGCCCAATGCTGTACATTTCTCATCTCTTTTGATTCTTAGAAGATGCTTATGACTCATCTCTTTGAGAATCTTCATGAAACTGTCTGTTTCCTTGCCTCTGTTGCAAGCCACCAAGGTTCATAACTACATGTCTCTCCTATAGCAACAACTGGAGATATGGTTGTGAACCTAACAAAGGCTAATTACTACTCTGTGTGTATGTTTTGTCAGTGCGTGATGTTTGCATTATTATTGTTGTTGCAGGGTTGGTTTAGTCTCAGGGCCACCTTTTCCTTCCAATTAAGGCGAAATGTTAAGCAACAGAATGCCATTAATCTCAATGGACTAGATGGACAGCAAGAAAAGGGTGCTAAGACGAAATTCTCCAAGAATCCAATTTAAACAGAAATACAAAAAATAGATGGGAAGATTAAAAAAAAGGTTTTCCCTTTCCATACCTTTGTAACACAGTAGTATGATCTTCCAGATTGCCAAATTCGACGCCCAATTATGTATTCTCTGTCACTACAGAAGAAAGGAAACTGTGCCACAGATAATGTTGTAAACGTAAGTGGATGCAAACAAGGAAATTAAGCATATCCGTTAAAAGATTTTTTAAGATTCCCTCACCTTGCGAATCCAATGGACTATCATCGTTCCTGTGGTCGAGCATTCGTCCACTGTAGCAGAATATATCAACATGTCATCCCACTTGGATCGGAACTCATCGTCCCAGAAGAAGTCCCTCACCATCTCCGGTGTAGCATCCTCAAAGACTGTTCTGCTACGATATTCAGGAGGGCCAGTCTAACAAAACAAGATAATGTAAGAAGAAAATAAACAAGAAATTCATGGAAGTAGAACTTTTCTATACGTAGCATAAAAACTAAATCAAATTTGGCTTCACATGCCACCCGAATTTGTTCAATCAAATTATTTTTGGAGTTGGAGAGAAGAAACCCTACGTACCTCTGGATCTCTCCGCCAAGCTTGATAGCTCATAGTAGGAGTAGAACGGTCCATCATGTGTATCCACGCTGGACCTCCATCTTTAACCTCAACAAGCTGGGACAGATGCTCTAGATCCTCCCCAGTCACAACCACTGAAGTTTCCCTTTCAAGCTGCGATGAACTGCAGCAGCGATGAACAAACCGGGTGACGGAAAGAAGAGTTTCAGTGCCAAATTCATTTATATTTGGCAAACCAAGCTCATATCAATAAATTCAAACAGAAATTGCTATTGTGGAATGAAATAGTTGCAAGGATGACAACAAAAGGATTGAACCAAGTAGATAAATCAAACATACCCGCAGTCTGGATTTGTGGTCGATGGTAAGGAGAAGGTCTCCTTCTCCAGGGAGTCGTCGGAGATCCAAGAGATGCAACTGGGCAATTGTGACTTCAATGAACTCAAGCTAGACATGGAACCAAAACCTGACGATAGTGATAGTATCAAAGCAGGGAAAAAAGAGGAGGGGGAGGAAGAAGAAGAAGAAGAAGAAGAAGAAGAAGAAGAAGAAGTCGAAATTGAAGAAGCCAGTTTGTCTCTCCCCAAATTGGCCCATTTTGGCTTCCAAGACCATCCAACCACAAGCCCAACAAGAACAGCAATCCATAGAGGACCGAAAAACACCATCAGCTCCACGAAGACATCCCCAATTGTGGGTGACCTTTCTAGAATCTCCAACAAAGCCGAAACCACGGCCATAGAGGGCAGAGGAGAGGGGCGAAAAAACAAAAAGGAAATATTAAAAGAAAGGAAGAAAGGAGGGGAAACCCTCGATTCAATCGAAATTAAAAGGTAATAAGTATAGAGAAGAATCGATGGTTCACTGGAAAGATAAGAAGACCCTACGATCGAAACCCAGGGAAGAAATTGAGATGAAAAAAAAAAAGAAAAGAAAAGGGTAGGAGAAAGAGGAAGAAGGAGATTTGGATTTTAGATATGAGCAGCAGAGGAGCTGGAGAAGAAGACAAATGTATCAACGCAGCTGGGGATAAGGATTTAGAGATATGAGGTAACGAAGCGTGTTACAAGGATTACCGTAGGCCCCGTCTTAAATGAAATCATGAAAAACTTCACAAAAGAAGAGAGAGAGAGAGAGATGAAAACACGAATCCCTGAAAGGCTGAAATGCTTATGCCGCTGCTAAATTTAGAGGAACTGCCCTAACACAACTTATCTTAAGCCCTGACTACTGAGACAAAATAAGCGCATCAATGATCAACCTTTCCTTTCAAGGAAGCGATCTGCGATTTGCGATCAGCTGATTTCTTTTCTCTTCGTTCGTTCGTAAATCGTATCATCCTTGCACTTTGCACATATACATATATACATATGCTTGTCTCGGTCTCCATCATTTCATTTTATGTGGTTGCCGCGGTCTCATTTTTCACGTTGGCCGGACCACTGTCGACTTTCAACTTATGACAACTTACTCTTTTTTTATTTATTTTTTAATAAAGAGAATAAGGATCAAGGGCGTGTAACGCGGTTCAGCGGTGAAGTCTACCTACTTTTTCTATTATTTTATCACCGTTATAAAGAAGATTTCAGCCATATTTCCATGAAAAATACAGGACCTGTATCGTAAGCTGTACATAAATCTACAATTGGATATACTCTTCACACAGCGCTCCTAGTGCTCGCACTGCATTCAGCCACATCTCTGGGAACATTTTTCCCAATAATAAATATAAATATTGGGAATATTCGGGATGTGCAAACAGGATATGATGTGAGGAGGAGATCCGAATTCATAAATTAAGGGTTCTATGTTGGATTCTCCAACCTGTAGACGTCTAGGTGTAGTGGAGAGAGATTTTGACTCGGGACTAGGATGAATGGTACAGGCCTACAGGGTCTAAAAAGGATTCCAAATCCAAGGGATACTCTTTGCCTATCAAAAAACTTAAAAATTGTAATTAAATGCCCCTTCTAAAAGAAAAAATCGGTTGGTATTATGCGTATGGTATTAGACGTCGACAATGAAGAAGGAAATGCGTTGACATTGAAAGGTTACTTTTCCCAATAAAAATGAAACCGGTACAAAATAGAAATTAAAAAAAAAAAAAAGTTATTGAAATGTAAGTAAGAATAAAACACAAAAAAAAAAGTAGAACAAACAAGTAGTTACAGGTATTAGGAATGTATTTATTCATATACTTACAGGTTTGGAGGTAAAATGAAAGTGTTGAAGTGATTTTGATTTATTAGGCCAGATTGCCAGAAGACACTTTCTTTTCTTAATGTGCACGTATGGGTTCTGTCAATATATATTCTTCCTGAATACTTCTTCAGAATTGAGAATGACGCCTCAAGTTATATTATCATATATACAAACAAGGACAATGTATTAAAACTCAATGTTATATAATATAGTGTAAACATTAAGGCTTAGTTTGAAAGGAGTATAAATACAAATATATATAGTATAAATATATATACAAAATACAAGGTTTTATATTTTACATATTTGTATTGTATTTGTACTCCTTCCAACCAAATGGAGCCTAATATGCAAAGACGTTTGATTTTAGTGGTTCGGTTCAAAATAATATTACTCAACTGAAAGGTTCAAGTCTTCTCTTATGGCGGGGCAATTAAATAACAAAAGCATAATAAAAGATTCAGTCATTCAATGTGACTAGCTATAGTTGGATGTGAAAACACAAAAAAGGTATGATTGGAATAGTAGGTCATCAGTAATAGACAGTAGTGTTGACGAATTGAAGGAAGCAAGAAGCAGCAAGCCTTCCAGTTCCACATGGGATGCTTTCCGTCCAAAATCCAAATCCACTCCCGCCTTTCTTTCACCACTCTCGACTTCGAGTCTCTGTCTGTCTCGGCCAAACCCATAAACTCACAAGGCCATAAGTGGGAAGATGACTGAGACACGCACGCACAAGTAGTCAAGTACCATAGTCGGCGTCGATCGTCTGCGGTGSTTAAGGCCCCCTTTTGTTAATGGGAATTGGGGTCTAGAATCAGAATCAGAATGGGTTATTTGGATTCTAATTGTTTAGTTGGATGGAATTGAAATTCTATTCCTATTTCTGATGGAATGGTATCATTTTCTGCCCCTTTCTTGGAATAAAATTTCATTCCTAATGATTTTAATTYCCATTTCCATTTCTGTCTGAACCAAACAGGCATTGGAAATGTATATGATGCTTATGCATGGTATCCTCCTCCACATTGCTGCATTTGTATAAGTTTAAATTTAAAAAATAAATCAATTAGGCTATGTTTGTTTTAGGTGTAAATTCAGCTTTACATCGATGAAAAATGTAACCCTGGTTTAGTGATCGATGGAAAATAGAATCGGGGTATTTCGAAATTTTTCTCTCATATCATTTGGTTGTTACAGTGTAAAATTTCTGCTCATTCTGCTCTAAAACTTTCTCTTCGATGCTCATAATAAACGAAGCAAGCAATAATGGCAAAAAACGAAAAAAGAAGGCGTGTTTGTGAGTTTATACAAGGGCTTGAGAGGGTATTGGAAGAGAAGGAAGTACAAGCATTTGGACGGGGCTAGACAACGGCGAAAAACCCGAGTGGAGCTCACCAGGGCAGGTTCCAATAGAAGGAGGCGTTTTTGGCGCATCAGAATCACCCCCAAACTCCGCTTCTTCCACCACCTCTCCCCCAAGAAGCTTCTCATCCGACTTCGGGATGCATACTTTAAGATGATGCTTGGGTTCACCAATTCCAGGGTGTTCAATGCTGGGTTCAGTGGTGGTGGTGCATTTGGGGCAGGCTTTGGGTTCAGGAGGCGTCCCTTGAAGGAGTATGACGAGAAAGTGCTGATTGAAATTTATAAATCTCTAATGGCTTAGTGACAATTAGTGCCTCACGATGCAAGCTGACTAGCTGCCCAGATTTCATGTCGACGATGAAAACTGAAAAGGGGTTTTCCTTTTTCGACTTCCCTTTCTTTCTCCTTCTCACTTCTCTCTCTCTCTCTGCTTCTTCTTTTTCTGTGCTTCATTTTAGTTTTTGGGGATGGTGACTCTGGTCTTCGAACTATAAGCTAATAATGAGGCTACTTTTATTGAGCTCCTTGCTCCTCCAGCCATGTGCACAGGAACCAGAGCTTTGGTTCAGCATCGGCTACGACGTCCTCGGGGGTCAGTAATTGGATGCCTTTCCGTGAGATCCTGAAGAGCGCAAATAGAGTCCATCTCAGTAATGATTACACAGGCATCGGCTTGCTTAACAGTGGTAGCACAACCTTTGCCGACATCTCCATACCCGCAAATAACTGCTACTTGTAGGCATCTCCAACCGGCATGTCAGATCGGGTTGCAGTGAGCCTCTCTGTTCTCGTTCTAGTTCTCGTTCTCGTCTGGTGACTGGGTTGCAGTCCTTGCCAAGTGTTGCAACCGGCGTATCAGACCCAGAAACAGGTGATGGAGAAGCGGTCAGAGATCACCCCCTCTCTGTTCTCATCGGAGGAAGAGAGAAGGAGAAGAGAGAGAGCACACGAGCGATGTAATCGATACATCGAAAATTTTGATGTATTTATTACATTGATTATTGATGTAATTAAAACGGTAATTATATATTTACCAAATGCCTGCAAAATTGAACCGGGGTGCAAAGTTTACCTCGGTTCAATTTTACATCTCTACCAAACGCAGCCTTATAGAAAAGAAATGGGAAGAATTTGGAATAGGGATTGATATGAAATATTTTGGTAAAATTTTGAAAAATAAATATTTTGAATAATTTTGCTAAATCTTGTTAGAGAATTCTAATAAAAGGGGTTCAATTGCAACTGAATCAAAAAGTTCAAGAAAAGTAATTATAATTACCAAAATTTAGAAGATATTTTAGCAATTTCAGACGAGGTTTTAGCAATTTATCTAGAAATATTTTATATCCATAGAAAGATTAAAATTATAACCTAAAAGCAAAAGATTGTGGTCGATTGTTGTACATTTGTTAAATGAAATCTTTTTTTATATAACCTAAATATTTCCCTTTATGCTTTTAACCATTATTATTACAAATTTAATTAATTACAATGATGCCATTGAATAAAACGAAAAAAAAATGATGCCACTAAACTTCTACATTTTTCATATTTGTTAAAATTTGTCTTTATCTCTCATTTTATTTATAATCAGGTCATATTGGGCCGTGTTGTGCGGGTCGTGCTTCTATCCCCTATGATACTTTAGGGGGTCAGCTGAGCCCACGTAGGTCTCTGTCGTGCCGCGGGCTGGGCTGGTCCGTGGGCCAAGTCATAGGGCAGGCCAAAACACAAACCGAGTTAATCCTTGTTTTTTTTTATTTTGAAAAAAATAATGAAAAAGATAACATAAATTAAAAAAAAAAGATAACATAAATTAAAAAAAAAAAGATAAAAATTTAAAAAGATCTTAAATTTTTATTTTATATGAATTTTGATGTACATAATTGTTTATATTTGCCATAATAAAATTGAAAATAAAATTATATATTATATAATTATTGTATATAATATACAACCCGAGCCCGTGTGGGCCCATACAATGCCATGGGCCAAGTCTTCAGCCAGGCTAGGCCACGTGCCTAGCTAAGCCATGTTTTTATAAATTAAAAAATAGATAAAAATTTTAAAAATATCTTAAAATTTTATTTTATATGAATTTTGATGTTTACAATTATTTATATATGCAATAATGAAATGAAATAATATAATAAAATTATATATATATATATATATATATATTAATATAGTATATAATTATTGTATATAATGTATGGTCCAAGCCCGTAAGGGCCCATGTTGTGTCACGGGCCGGGCTGGTCCGTGGGCCAAGTCTTAGGCCAAGCCAGGCCACGAATCGGGCTAAGCCATGTTTTTTAAAAATTTTGAAAAAAAATAATGAAAACCTTAACATAAATTTAAAAAAAAAAAACAAAAAATTAAAGAAGATCTTAAAATCTTATTTTAGCTCGAGCACGCGCGGGCCTTGCCGTGCCATGGGTCAGGCTGGTCCATGGGCCAAGCCTTAGGCTAGGCCAAGCCACGAACCGGGCTAAGCCTATTCATGGGCTTGGTAGCCTAGTAGTTCAGCCCGACCCATTAACAATGCTAAATTAATTAATTAAATAATTTGAGATAGCCTTTACCAATCTTGAATTAATAATACATAAAGTTTTATTTATTTATTTTATTAAATTAGTTAATAATTTAATAATCTAACAAATTATTATTGCTAGCAAAGTACGACATAGAATCATGTGTGTGTGCATATATATACTCTCTCACTTGATTGTTTATTTATCTCATTTGTTTTATAAATTTATTTATTTATTAAATTAAATTAATTATTATTTAACTATTAACAATTATTCCACTATATTAAACAAAAATACAATGACAAAAGTCATCTCTCCCTCTTTCTCTCTATTGCCCGATGGCTGTGATTATTTATTTATTATTTTATTTTATTAAATTAATTATATTATTATCCATAAATTTTTATTTATTTTAAATAAATCCTTTTTCAATAAACTTTTAATTAAAAAATTACCTTTCACAATTTTTTTTCTATATAATAATTTACCTTTTACAAACCAGTTACCATCATGTTTTGCCCCTCCGCTAGTCTATCTTTGGTTTTGGAATGAAATTGACCCTCCTCTTGTATATTCGGAATTCAAAGTCTGCATGTGCAAGTACAGCTTAGAATAAGTTAAGTAAATCCACATGTATGGTCCATCCATCCTATCGTGGCCTAATTAATTGAAGCATACACCTGAAGCCACAAATTTTTGGGTCAAACAACAATGTGTTGGAACACCGGCCACACTATCTTACATCCATAACACGATGCTCATGCCTCACAGTGCTTGCTCTCGTATGTCAAACCCAACCATATTCACGTTGCAATATTGTCCATTCACGTTTTTTTAAGTTTTAACTAGGAGTGGTAATATTGACCTTAAGCCATTTCACCTATCCATTTAAGATAATGGTGATTATGGGTTGAGTCATTCATTTGGGTCAGGAGTAGAGATGTAAATTGAGCCTGTGGCCTAGAACGATTTTGAGCTGGCCCGGCATGATTGTATGGGCCAATTGGCGGTGTCAGGCGTAGGGTTTCAAGTCAACAGGTCAGGCCAGCATGGCTCGCATTGTTGTGTCATGCCACCCGTAGCCCACAGGCCCACAACGGGTCATGCTCAACCTGTACGAAGAACTAGCCATTGGAGACCCCCCCAACCAACTATATAGGGGGTATTTATGTATTCAAGCTTTGGAGGAGATAAAATAACAATAATGCCCTCCAACAACTATATAACAACTAGTTTAGAGGGTATTTAGGTAAAGTGATAAATGACTTTATAATGACCAGAATACCCCTCCCAACAACTAGAAACAACTAGTTTTTAGAGTATTTTGGGGAATTAAATTATTTTCAATTCCTATAAATAGTCTTATCCTTCACCATTCTCATAACACCAGCTGTCATACTCTCTTAGTTTCTTATACTCTCTCAAATATCAATCTCTTCTCATGCACCATACTCCTACATATACTCTCATACTCTTTCTACTCTCCTTCACCATTCTCATCACACCAACTCTCATACTCTCTTAGTCATACTCTCTCAATTCTCAAATTGATTCAAGTTTCAACAAGAAGGCTTGTTCGGGTATGTCAAGTTGGCAATTTGAGAGACTTGAAGGCTTAAACTGTTGAAATCAAGTTAAAATTCCAAATTGGCAATCCGAGTAAATGCAATTAAATTAATTTTTATTTTTTTATAATTAAAAAATGGTTGGCTCCACCTCTCGCTCTTGACACCAATTCCCCAACGTAGTCAATGTCAACGATGTCAATGTTCAGTCACAATATAATAGTGTTATCTTTAATATGGATGTTGTTGATACCACCCCTAGTATTGCTACTAGAGGTAGGGAAAGAAAAAAGGAGAACACTAAGACCATGTTTGGTTTAATTCCCATTCTTTTTCATTCTTACTCAAGATAAAATTCTAAGATGAAAAGGAATGAGCAAAAATGGGAAGAATGAGAAAATATTGCTATAAACCAAACTTTTTTTCTAAAAAATGATTTTTTTTTGCAGTAAGAATGAGAAAAAATTTTAACTTAAAATTTTCATTCTCATTCATTTTTTCATTAATCGAAATAATAACATATATAGGTATACATACAACACTAAATGGCAAATATATATCATAGAATCATGTGGGCCCCACGTCAAGAGAGGTAAAGGTAATACTTTTCCTAGTACCCTTTTTGCCCTGCGCTATGATTCAACAAATATCTTCTCCTCTTTTCTTGACCATTTGGCATTATCTTTTGTTTCGTTAGATGTACTATGTGACATATCTATAACAAAACAAATAAAAAAAAATTTGCATTTATATCTAAAACCATGTATTAGAAGGCAAGTTCATGAAGCAAAAATAATAATGAGCATAGCCTTATTGAATTAAGATCCATTTGATAACAATATATGCCATTTGTTGCAAAAAAAAGTTTTATGGACCCATATGCCCATGGCACATGGGGTCTTTGTATTTTACCCTTTATGCTTTTGTGATTTTACAAAGGGCAAGCCTCTTAAAGTGCCCCTAAGTTTAGGAAAAATTATATACTCTACCACTACTTTTTAAAAATTACCTTAAAATACCCAGGTTTTTTGACAATTGACGATCATTAATAGTTGACAATGGAAAGATGAAAAGATTATTTTATCCTTCATCCTTCTTTAAAATTTCAAAATAGAAATACTTATAACTCTGAAAAGAACTATGCTCCTTTGATGCTCTAATTGACATGGTATCAACCAGAATCCTCAATGTGCAGGCTAAAACCATAGGTCCATTCAGAACCACGAATTACTTGGTGGAGCCCCCAAATATTGACACCGTCAATAGGAATGTTGGGAGCCCATTAAGGAACAACCTCCAAAACATCAAGGACACTAGAAATTACAGTGCTTTGTTTTCCCATAGTTAATGAAAAAAAAGGTGTTTCATTTACTGACATATCAAATCAAATCTAGTTGGTCTCTGATTTATTTACTTGTGATGGCAATGAAATATATGCATTCAATCTCAGTTGATTTAAGTCCATAATTTTGTTGCTATTTGGGGAGATATGGGTTCATTCTAATACTGGATGATTAAAATGTAGTCAGCAAGATGATGTTGCAGCTCCTATACAGATGGACATGAGTTACACTGTTTGCACAACCTTTTGGGGAATATCTCTGTACTTATATATTTTCTTCATGGGAAGATATTCCTAGTGCAAGGCTGCAAGGATTGTGCAAACGGCGTGAGCACTGAAGCCAATTTCGTTGGAAACTAGAACCTTTTGTTCAACTTCTAACAAGAGTTGTAGCCTGTAGGAGTCATTCCTATGGATACTATTTGTGCAATTATTTGTGGAAATAGGGATATGGATTCAGAATTGAAGTGGGTTATTCCAATTCCAACTGTTTGCTTGGGCAGAACTAGAATTCCATTCCCATTCCTAGTAGAATGACATTCCCCCATTCCCCCTCCCTTGGGAATGAAATCCCATTCCTATTGATTCCAATTTTCATTTCCATTCTTATCTGAACCAAACAGACTATGGGAATAGACCATTTTGATTCCGAAAGATTTTGAATTTATAATTATTAATTATTATAATTCTTAATTTTTTAAATATCAAATAGAAAAAATATATATAATTTTTTATTTTTATAAAACATTTTTTTCTCAAAATCGAGCTTGAGCCGAATCAAGTTCGAGCTTATGAATTTTTGACTCAAGACGAGCTCGAGCTTAAAGTTTTGTTTCGATCCGAGCTTGAGCTCGAGCTCGAGCTCGAGCCTTGTAAAACAATCTCGAACTGAGCTCGAGCCTGTTAGTATTCGGCCCGGCTTGAGTTCACCCCTAGTGGTACTTCGAGAGATTTGCCTCTTTACAAAGAAGAAAGAATGAAGAGGAAAGTTAAGGCCTGTTTGATTCACAGGAATAGAAGTGTAAAATTGGAATCAAGATGGGCTTTATTCCCATTCCAACTATTTGGTTGGGTGAAATGGCATTCTCCCAATCTGAGGGCTCCTGGGGAATAAAATTCCATTGTAGATGATTTCACGTCCGATACTCCGATTCCGATTCCTATTGGCTATTTGAACTAAAGAGATAATGAGAATAGATCCTTCCGATTTCGATTCCAAATTTCCAACTGCAGACCAAACGGGTCCTTCAAAAAAACTTCGTCGGAAAATAGAGGAGAATCTCGTGCATTTCTCGAGAATCTCGTGAAACTGTTATCGAACGGACCCCTTTGTTTGAAACACCATGAAACTGAACCCCTCAAAACGATCTTGAATCCTCGAGAATCTCATGCATTTCTCAACGATGGTCATTCTCTCTTCTTTCTTCTCTCTCACTGCATTTAGAAATTAGTTTCCCTCCATTCCATCAGCCTATTTTCCAATTCACCATGGTAGCATTTCTATGACAGAAGAGATACCACGTTCCCTGAGGTTCTCAACGTTCAATCGTTCCTCTCAGGATGCTTTGTTCCATCTCTTCTGGTAAATCTGCTCCGAATTGGCTGGACCGCCTCCGGTCTTCTAAAGGTTTCCCGGTCGCCGATGGTCTCGATCTGGAGCACTTCCTAAACCCTAACCCTAATCAAACTACTCTTTCATCTGAAACTAATGCTTCCTATGCAACCCAGGAAATAGGTTATTCAAAACCCCACCCTGAGTCGACTTCATTGGACGAAAAACCAGTAGCGGATCGAAAGAAAAGCATGGCCGGTCCTGGCGATCGGAAGAATCAAGGAAAAGAAGACTGGTTTGGTATAATGGGCAATGTTCTTGCCGAGCTTTTCAACATGGGAGACTCCGGCGAATTTCAGAAGATCAGAGGTTTTGACGAAAAAAGGAGTTGTCGCAAACAGCCAAATCCTAAGATTTGTGTTTTCTCTGCATCTGCCAGCGTTAATGACAGCTTCTTGGCTGCCGCTCCGAGACTTGAATCGGTTCCATCTATGTCACCTCCGAGTGGTGATAACAGTGTAACAGAGATGAAGGAAACAGTTAATTCGCTGAAGCCCAAGAAGCAGGGAAAGGTCGTTTCTATAGCTCATGACGAGGACAAGCTACAGACGGATCTTTCGACCTACTCGCGTGTCGAAGTAACCATCATAGACACGAGCTGTCCAGTTTGGAAATCTGAGAAGTTGCTTTTCAGAAAGGGGAGTGTATGGAAAGTCCGTGACAAGAAATGGAAGTCGAGGAATGCTTCTTCATTTAGAAAGAAGAGGAAGGCCAACCATTCTGATAAGGAAGCTGGAGGAGGAAAGAAGAAGGGAAAATTTTTTCTGCCGCTTGTCAATATAACCAGGGAAGCAGGTCCGGAAGAAAACAAAGTTCCATTAGATGAAGTAAGAGTTCTTTTTAACATTTTTTCTGCTTGTGAGTTTTATTCGATTTTAAGCTCTCTAACACCCTTCATTTAGAAACTCATATCTGTTCCTCTTTAGAACATGAAAACTTTCGTATAGATATAATTCCTGTAATAAGTATTAATTTATTTTTCCAAATCTTTCAAGTGATTATTGTCGGACTTTCTCATTAATTTTTACTACTGAGTAGTGATATCTTTCGTTTTGTGAGTTACAATAAGCTTTATTTACATCATACAGCATGGGAAAACCAATATTAAAGGCTGCAATCTTATGGATTCTTGTCAAACAAGAGGTTGGATGTTATGTGAGCATAAGTAGGATATATCTCAGAGTTTGGTTGTCCGATGGTATTTGATGTGTCTTCTACTCCTCTTCAGTCTTAGGATCAAGGGCACATGATGAAGGCCAAGTTTTTGCATGCCATTATCTTCATTTTTATGACCGCATCAAATGAAGGTTGGCCTATTTGTTATGTTTGGCTATTTAGAGAATTGACTTTTTGACTATTGTCCTCAGTTTTAGGAAGACCTTTTGTTGGTTTTGCGTCACATTCTGAAGACTATTCCTAGAGGAAAGCCATATTTTGTACCTGGTCTCCTTTTCTCCTTTTCTCCTTCTGGAATATCTTGAAAATTTGATTTTAGGAGAGAGGCCTAAAACACTGTAGCTAGGTGATTTTTTTTTCTGTGTTTAAGGGAAGTTTTCATTAGGCCTATTGTGAGAGTCAGGTGATTTTTTTTTCCTTTTTCTTTCCTGGTAAGTCAGTCTCCTCTACTCAAACCAAAGGTTCAAAATAGCAGTATGGTGTATCATATTGGAAAGGTTGCATATGTATACGTATCACGATATGCTTTTGATACACATGGATATAGTAGGAAGATACAAGTATGTTTGGGCACATTAGAGAAACTTTTACAAATCCCTCAAATACATCAATAACAATAAATCTAAAGTTGAAACAACTAAGAATAAAGTATAAACACATAAGAAATGCACACTTTAATAGTTTATATCAAGAGATACTGTTGATGCCAAAATCTACAACAAGGATAAAATGGAAAGTTCAATGAAAACCTCAGCTAATAGGGTGTCAGTGTCACCTTGGCTGTTGGAGAGTCACCTCAGTTGAAGACCTTGGAAGTTGGAGTGTCAGTTGTGTCACAAAGTAATGCTAGAGGCCCTAGGATCTCATCTCGGGGCCATGATTTTGACGATCAAGCCAATAAAGTAGGAAGGAGAGAAATGAGCTGAAGAGCTCGATGAATGCTCTATGAGATGTAGTATAAGGTGAGGTGTTCCGAGGTGTTTGCAAGGGGTGTGTGGGATGTAGTTAGGAGGCTGGCTTCTTAAAATGAATGGGGACTCACTTGTTTATAGGAGGGGGAACTTTATTTTGTGAAGGGCACACCACTAACACATGGTTGGAGTCTTGGTCCACCTGTCATGGCTGTGGTTGACAAGTTATGTGCACGTGGTAGGTAGTGGGCCTATGTTGAATGCATTGGCACTAATGCTCTAATCAGCTCAGTCACATGTAGCATCCAACAGTCTTGATTTAGCACATGGGTCTAGTGTGCCTCCACATGGATGTCCATGTGTTGCTTCCTCAATTGGCAAGATGCACATGTTGTTTGTTTTGCCCCTATCTCATTGCCACGTGACAACGTTTGACTGCTGGTTGGTTTTGGCGCTATCGGATACATTACAATCAACAATACTAGGAGTTTGGAACATGTAGATATCATACAATAACTTTAGTAATAATCCATCAAACAACAATACAACATTTGAACTTTCCAATATACTAAAATTCACTACAAACACATTAAATTGTGTCTGGATCAATGGATTTGATATATCATTGGTAAATCCATCTTACAGTTCTTCCATACCATGAAATTCATTTAGAATATATAAGATAAAATATACATTTTTTAATTTTCATATTATTTCTATAGTATTAAGAACAAACTTCATTTTTGACATAAACTATTGTTAGATCAATGAGTTTACTAGATCCATCTTATAGTTGTTTCCTACAATAAAATGAAAAGCATTTAAAACATATTAGAATTACTTTTTATTTGAATTTTCCATTTTTTTGGGGAAAAGTCCATAGTTCTAACAAGTTTGGACCGCCAGTATAATTGGATATCTGTCGGCGGTTCTCATTTTCCATGTGTGTCATGTGCCCAACCCTTTGGATACCAATATGCTATGCCCTGTATTAGGTGTAGTGATTTAAAAGGCGCGCCAAAGGCACACCTAGGCGCACATGTGAGGCACATTTTGGGGTATGCGCCTTGCCTAGGTCCTAGGTGCACCCCTTTCAAACTTGCGCCTTAGCTCAGGCGTGCACCTTTTTAAAATTTTGCACTTTTTGCTTTTTTTTAGTGAGTCTAACAGTTGGGCCGGGGGCTCCGCCCTTGAACCCCCAACCACACCCCTCGAGGCAAGCCCGAACAAGTCTAAGTTAGGATCTGAAATTCTTATTTGGGCTTGCTTCGAGGGGCGTGGTACAAAGGCGACTCAGAGAATCAAGAATGCAATATGTTTTACATCGCATTAGCTACTTGAAGCAATGCAATTAAGGAGAAAGAGATTGTAGGTTTTACATTTTTGAAAATGCTTTATATATTTGCTTTTATTGTTAAATTTTCATTTGAATACGCTTTACATGTTATGTTTATGTATACTAATTTTAGATAATAGGTTTTTTTTAAAATTTAAGTTTATCTTTTTTATTGACATTATGTTTTATATTATTTGAATTTTTTTGGCATTTTTTTTGATTTTTTAGCTTTTCTTTTTGTAATTTTTAACCTTGCTTAAAAAGGCGCGCGTGCCTCGCCTTGCGCCTCAGCCCTTGCACTTTTTTTGCGCCTTGCACTTTTAAAACACTGGACAAAGCTATGCACTGTTAGGATGAGATGTTGGGTAATAACCAAAAAAGAAGTTCCATAATTAGAATGCTGTTAATATAGTGGCTGACTCCCTGTACAGAGGTCCACTGGGGCAGTTTTGCCTTATTGTACTTTGTAAGAGTTAAAACTTAGATTTTTATTTTTATGAGATGAATCTAGAGTCACAATAAATATAGAGCTAACTACCGTTAGGGTGGGAAATTAGATGCTTAACCTAAATTAGTGGCTGATTTCTCCCTCCATTAACCTGATGTAGGACAAGGTAAGGGTCCTACAAATTTCAGATCTAGTTGTGGGTTTTATGGGGTGAAGGAGTGGCATTGTGGTTATTGAGGATGAAAAATGGAGATGGAAAAGTAAATAGACACCTTTGTGTCCACCAAAAAAATGAGCAAGAAATTAGGAAGAGAAAGAAGAACCCTGCTATTAAGGTAAACAACAAAGAGATAGATCACTTAGAAGAAGAAGAAATAGAAATAGGTGATAGAGAAGAAAAAAAGAAAAAAAATCCTTCCAACAACCAGAATTTACTAAACCAAACTTTATTTCATCAAATTGATCATTTTTAGATGGCATTTATGATAACTCTAATAATTTGGACTATGAATTTGACCCAAATAAATTTCTAATTGCTTTGGAACTAAGACATATTCATGGCTAAGTAGCTAGCCATAGGGACGCTTAACTAAGGACTCGTAAGTCCTAAAAATTTCCCTTACTAATCCTAAAGAATTTCAATAAAACTTACCCGGGTTTTTTGATCATAAGTGTTTCCTAATCAAGTTAAAATTGACCATTTTATCCATAAAATTTCATTATTATAAGGGGCAATTTTGTCCCATTATGTTTTGGCAACTTTCCCTCTAGACGGGAAAGTTACTTACCCTCCTAGGGTATCGGTAGCACTTACCTGGGTAAGTGATACATATGGGAAAGCAATTTACCATGGGACCCACTGTTACCGATAAGTGAACATGGGATTATTGTCAATGGGAAGAACTTTCCTGTTGACCAACTCCCCCCTCCATTTACTGAAAAAACAAATGGGGCCTAAATAGTAAGTCCAAAAATTAGGGCCCATCTTGCAATGTAAACATCCTTTTCAGGTATTTGGGCCTTGTAGAAGGAGAATCACCTAAGGCAGAGGCTTTGTTCTATTTCATGGACTTATAGCTTGGATATGTATTGGTGACCATGGAAACACATGGATACACTGATGATGGAAGGTTTGGTTCTATAAGTTTGGGAACAATGCCTAGGCCACTCTCATGCATTTGAAATAAAAAATAAAAAAAAGAATTAAAAAAGAAGAGTATCAGCCATAATAATACGCACTGATACCCAATTCTGGGTATCAGGTGTATCGATATTTTAATCCTTCCACTACCAAATTATGTTTTACATTATTTAATGTAATTAATTGGCCAAGTCATAATCACTGTTTAAATTAAAACTAATTTAGTGTTTGTTTGGTACTTAATTTAGTGGGTTGAAAGGACCAAGTAGGTAATAAGCTAGTGTCAAGGAGGTAAAAATTGAAAAACCATATTGTAATTTAGGAAATTACTTTCTTATGAGAAATGTCTAATTCATAAATCTAAGCAGGCAAGGGAAGTTATCCTCCCGGTCCAAGTTTAAATTAGTTGATGTATTGTTGTTTTCTGGTATTGATTAATGAATGAAATAAAGGTAATTTTGCTCGACTTAAGTTTATTTTAGATACTTGCTAGTATGTTATCTTTCGTTTACTACTTCATCTTTCTTCTGATATTTAATTGTCTTGCTATTTCTCAACTTCTGTTCTTTTAATTTTGTTACTTTTCAAGATATTTTGTTCTATTAGCATCATAGGGGGCATTTAATATATAATTTTTGAGTCCCTGGAAGTGATTAGTTAGAGGGCTTCTTGGCAGTGGAAGAGTTTGACTGCCTTATTTCTTTCTAGAAATATTTTAAAAACTGACCCGGAGGCTGAACCGTTTTTGCCTCTGGATCGCAGGTCACTGGTTTGACCGGCCGGGTTGAACAGTTCAGTCCGTGCCATGTCAGCAT